CGTCGCATCGGTGTTAACCAATCAGGTAATTTCTTTCCCCAAGTCGCTGCGTGTCCCTTGTGCCCTTGGCGCGCTTTTTCGGGGACCGCAGTGCGACTTGGCGGGGGAGGTTTTTCCCCTGACGTCACTTGGCGGGCAGCTGAGTTTCCTCCAGGTCAAGTACTCGTGACCTGCCGGTCCGGGCCTCTGGGCCTCGTACGGCGGACCTTTCGGAAACCCTTGGTTTATGATGCGGCAATTTGCTATTGAGGCCGTCGGAGAAAGTTTCTACGCGGACATGCATTGTCGAATTTTTAGAAATTAAATAAGCTAAAAACGGTTTCCTCAAAAATAGCTTTTCAAGCGCGCACGTCATAAACTGTGCTGGTAGTCTGCTCGCCAAATGTTCTTCGCTGTAGCTGGTCGCTACATATATATTAAACTTTCGTTCATGCAGGGTGGTTCACTTAACGTGCCCCCTCAATTATTGTCGTTATCAGCAGACCGCTCCAAATTTTTTTGTTAATGGAAGATACGGTTTCAAAGGATCTCCAAGGTAGTGCTCTTAGATTTTCTATGTCCTTTTTTTAAATAAGTTTTCAAGGTCACGTTTAATATTTTTATATACAATAAGAAAATGTATTATATTGTGGTCGCTGAATTCGTCTCAGTGCCTGCTAGCTAATAGGCAGAAAAGGACGAAATATAGACTTACACATAAAAAATTGAATATGACCTTGAAAACTTCTTTTGAGAAGAGACAGAAAATTCCTCCAGGTCAAGTACTCGTGACCTGCCGGTCCGGGCCTCTGGGCCTCGTACGGCGGACCTTTCGGAAACCCTTGGTTTATGATGCGGCAATTTGCTATTGAGGCCGTCGGAGAAAGTTTCTACGCGGACATGCATTGTCGAATTTCTAGAAATTAAATAAGCTAAAAACGGTTTCCTCAAAAATAGCTTTTCAAGCGCGCACGTCATAAACTGTGCTGGTAGTCTGCTCGCCAAATGTTCTTCGCTGTAGCTGGTCGCTACATATATATTAAACTTTCGTTCATGCAGGGTGGTTCACTTAACGTGCCCCCTCAATTATTGTCGTTATCAGCAGACCGCTCCAAATTTTTTTGTTAATAGAAGATACGGTTTCAAAGGATCTCCAAGGTAGTGCTCTTAGATTTTCTATGTCCTTTTTTTAAATAAGTTTTCAAGGTCACGTTTAATATTTTTATATACAATAAGAAAATGTATTATATTGTGGTCGTTGAATTCGTCTCAGTGCCTGCTAGCTAATAGGCAGAAAAGGACGAAATATAGACTTACACATAAAAAATTGAAAATGTCCTTGAAAACTTCTTTTGAGAAGAGACAGAAAAAATTTAAGATTCTTGAAGATTCTTTGAAGTCGTATCATCTGTGGCAAACAAATTTTTGATCGGTCCACTAATAAAAAAAGTAACTGAGGTCGTCACGCTAGGTGGTCCACTCTGTATGTTTACTACGATATCTCGAACTCCTGTAATTCCCCAGAAGCATTTTACATTTCAGTGTGCATTTCAAAAACGCCATGTACGTGCCTGAAAGTTTGATTAAATAAAGTCTTAATAAACATGCGTTTACCTAGAAGCATCGGAGTATTTTTTTTCTTCGTGTTATCATCGAGATACGTCTGACCGAGGCCGTAGTAAAGGGTGGTCCCGATTCCGAGGATAAACTGAGAGAGGAAGACCAAAAGTCGTGGAAATAGGCCGACGTCTAACAAAGTTTCCTCGTCGCAACGTTCCGGCTTGGCGACGCGTGGACATATCGCCAGGTCGTCGGGAATTGTGGAAGCGTTCAGCAACGTTTGATCGAGGTATTCCTTCGTCAACGCCAGAGCATCTCTTCCAGGCCCGTACAAGAAATGCGGAAGCGCGAGGACAAAGCACGAGAAGGCGCTGAGACCGACACCAACTGCGATCCATCTTGGACGATGACCGGAACCTCCGTAATAGGTTAATATCAGTGACAGAATTTGAGAGATCTCGTTGCCGGAAAGAATTAATCCTGAAATACATTAGGCTTGAATAATCTTGCTGCTTTCAATCCTTTTTTATGTTGTTACAGAGATAAATCGAATAACGCGGGGTAATTCTAGAAAATGGAACAAGATGCAACTCTTTTCGTTATTTAAACCAGTTCTTTCAGACAATATAGGTGTAAAAGCATCAGAATAGTGAGACCAAAAAATAACAAACTTACGACACAATGTGACTTTATTATAAGTGTTCAAACACTTTTGTATTGGTTCTTTCTTTCACATTCCTTATCACATTATTCAGTTGTAAGATACTCACATGTTATAAATCATCTGCAGAAGAATAGGAGGTGAATGAAACTTATTTTTAAGAGAACCCCATACCTAAATACGCGTAAATTTAATTCCGATAATGAAGTGAAGGGCTGCAAATGTTCGATCATTTCTGCCGATCAACTTCTGGTAAGTAACCGATTGCAGTTTGAACATAGTGAACGTTCCAGATTGTTGAAAATATATAAAATTACGCCGGACTTGCATTAGAACGCCATCCAATACAATTAAAATAAAATAAATTTCAAGAAATTTCTACTCTTCTCACGTTTTAATTGTAGAAGTTATTGTAATTAAGTTCAATTCGCTTTAATCACATTGAGAAACGAAATATTAAACACAAAGCAGAATAAAAACACTGAAATAAATGAATACCAAGAAACTAAGGAGAAATTTAGAGTGAAAAATCAAATACTGTTATAACAATATCTCGTGAAGTGGTATCTTCGACCTCATTGTCTAAAAGAATCGATTCATGCAAAGAGAAACACACAGTTGTATTAAAACAAAAATTATATAATTACATATTACATATACATTATTACATTTTTCAGAAAGAACTGTATCAGTATTATCTTTCTTCCTTGTCATTTTTTCTATCATCACATAACAAAGGGTTACATCTTGCTCCTCATTCTAGAATTACCCCATATGATTAATAAGTTACACTTGTCACTGTTACATGTACAGAATTAAACGTACAGAAAGATCATATGAATGGTTTTAAATTGAATTACATTACTCTTAGGTCACCCCATAAGTTCGCCTCGAATTTTATAATTTAGATCAATATTTCCAACGAACCCTTAAATTTGATAAAGACAAAAGAAAACGTGGGTGTCTTCCCATTCCACAACTTTTTCCTATTTTTCTTTTTTTTTTTGGTAAGACCATTGTGTCGTCACTATAGAATTTCCTTGGATTTTTATTAAAATATTTTTTACTCTCAGCACGAACTTAAAATTAAATCACGTGGCGAAGTACCTAGGAATTTTTAAAAATATTTATTTTCGTATAAATGGCGTACATTTGAATGAACGGATTTTCGTCAAACAAGTTTTGTACAAAAATGTCTGTAAAAGAAAAAGTTTGTAAGATATCGAGAAAATCCTAGGCACTTTGCCAGATACTCTAATAAACAAGATTCTGTGAAAATTTCAAGTGAATCGGTTAAAAATTGAAGAAGTTATCGACGCCAGCGAGAAGAGAGTCGCTCGGAAAGATGTTCGACAGAAGTAGGCGGCTTCAGTGCCGCCATTTTGTAAAAAAAAATATTTTTGTGCACTTGAATATGTATACATTACAGGCTATCTAACTGATTTCCCATTTATTTCATTATATTCACAGAAAAAATTTACAAAACTACACTCTGTCCAATTTAAGAGTAACCTCGCTTCGCGCATGGGACGTGCCTAAGGCAGGGCTAGAACGTGCAAACCCCCACTTAACCGCCTACGTTTTTCTCTGTCTTATCCTCTGCTACGCTCTCTGTCTAACTGCGGGAACTGCGCAGAACGAACGAAAATCGGTCCGAGAGTGAGGTTATTCTTACATTGGACGGAGTATACCTATGATTTTCGGGCGGTCAGGGTGGACTAACCCCTTAATCTAGGAACACGTGCTTGATTTGTATATCTATTATTGGTACATTTGAAAAACAAATCAGATCTTTTTGCCAGACCCTGTACATATCAAAATAGACCGAAAATAAAGGATAAAATTCGTTCGTTTGAAGCCTCGTTTTGGAGAAAACCGAGTTTGAATATGTATCTATCGAGTACGTCTGCACTTGACTATCTCCGGGCTTCGTGTTTGCACTAATAAGCAGTGCCAATGTCATGATAAGTATTAATAACACGTTTATTAATGATTTTATTGCTTTACGTGTACATTACTGAATGAACTGTTGAAAATAAGTCGTGGATCCAGAGCCGTGGATTGATGCCTTAATTGCTCGAAAGCCTGTCTTATTCTTTATTTTAGCTCCAGAAGATTTTTACTGCTTTCCGCGTATACTAACGTATTTCTCTGCGAAATATGGCATTACCACTGTTTATCGTCGTAAAAGTACGAGTAGAAGCAACAATTTCTAGCGAATCTTTAAATTCAATCTTCTCGAAAACAAAGCCTTCATTTTACCCTTCTTTTTTGATTTATTTTTGCATGTAGAATCATCCTGTGCTCGGTTGTACTAGATTTTCGAATATCGAATCCATATCGGCTGCAAATCGGTTCTTATTAATATTCGAACGCCCTTTAAAATAGTATCACTTTTTTCAAATTGAACCAAACGATTTGAGCTTTTCATGAGAAGTTAGGATTAGTTTACTAGTTTATAGCTTCGTTTCGTGTCTTTGGAAACGTTTCAATAGCTCAGTTTTGTATGTAGCTTTGGAAACGTTTACTAACACACTGTACGCCAATTTCAACTTTTCGGAAATAGTTGAAAGAAACCGAAACTCATTCTTTCTCGAGCGACAGTGTCGATTCCCTTTGATCTATGACATGCACATTCGTCGCTTTCTACGACCGTTGTGATACCTCCAACTGTTAAAAATCGCGATATGCCTCTACTTCTAAAACAATGCAACCGAAAAATCATTTCCGATCTGATATAGGTTACACAAGCCTTACTTATGTAGAGGAGAAGATGAATTCAAACATGACCAACGACGTATTAATCGTGATAAGAGAATCATAAATGGTTGAAATTCGGAGAAATAATTCGTAGAAATAAATCTTTTTAAGTGTATTCTAAAAATGCTTAACTGATAAGGAACCAACACAGAACCGATATGAGAATTGATAGTAAAACCGTAATCGAAATCGATATCTTCACTGATTTCGGTTCTTTATAACTGTTATAAAAAATAACGGTTCTTTGAAACTGTTTCGAGAAGTGAAATCGATATTATAACAGTTTTCAACCGCTGCCCTTGGGCCACCGCACCTTTGTTCTTAAACAAAACATTTATTCAGGTGCGTACATACGGTTTTAGTGAAATTAAAAGGGCACTATAATTTTATTCCTTTTGTAATGGAAACATTCGATAAATGTTGGCCTCGTGTCGTAATTATGATATAATTCTACAAATCTACTAATGAAAATGTTCACTAAATCATCGAAGATAATGCATAGGTACATCTTATATGGGCCAGTGATTACAAAAGTAGCCTATAATTTTTCACTTCGAGATATTTAGAATTTTCCCTTTGGGTGTATTAAATAATATTTTATCGACGCAACGCGAAATAAGTGACAAATTGAATTATTTTAGATTTTCGACTTAGACCACTTTCATAATCCACCGACACACAGTGGCGCACAAAAGCATTGCTACACCCTACAAAACGGAATAACTTTTTTAAAATTGGACCAACCGACTTGAGCTTTTGCGAGAAGTTAGGATTAATTTACTAGATAACGTGGACGAAAATTTGGAGAAAATTATAATTGGTCGAAATCGCGAGGAAAATAGTAGGTCGCTTTTTACATTTTGATCTGAGTCTGTAATTAAAATTTTAAAAATACGTTTCGTAGAAAATTGGAAATTTTCATCGTCGTTCAGTCCAATTTAAAAAAAAAGTTATTCTGTTTCGACGGGTGTGCCAACACTTTCGTTTGCCACTGTATGTACTACCTAGTTCCATGATAAATTCTGTTACAAAGTATTAGACGATCTGACAGAAGCAAACGGTACCAACGTGCCAGACCGCTGTTCTTTAAAAATACTTGTACTGTTCTGTAAATAATGGAATTCCGTTGAAACCGTTGAAAACATCAAAGATGTTCATCCATCGTGCTATAAAACGTTAAAACGAACTCTTAGAAATAGAAGACAGAGATAATTTAAATAGCTCAAAGAGAACTTTGGTAAAGGAAGCTAGTCAAATATCCTCAGGCGCCGAGGACAAAAAAAGGTGTACCTGTAAATTAAATTTTATTACGCAGAACGTTAAAGTATTTGACATCGCATTTTTATGAAATTCTTTAAAAAAACACGTTGCTCGCAAGAAAAATTGCATAACAAATGTACCGCTATCGAATTCCAATGGATACATCAAGCAATCTTGTCGGCTTTGTAAAACCGCGAGGCTGTTGGATAAGTGCGACGTGCTCGTGCACGTAAGAATTGTATCGATTTCACGCGCGACCGCTATAATACGTAATTAATGGTCATTCAATTCCGTATTCGTGGTGCAAATAATGTTTTAATCGATGGTACACCGATGCGCCAGTTAACGGCCAAGGGAATGGTCGAAGCAGCCGAGCTTTTATCGATCTCTTTGAATCGTGTAATTCTGGAGCACTGAACTCGACAAAATTGCGATAATATGTTAATCGATAATTTTGATTGACAATAATGTAGTGTATTAGGTGCTATTAATAGGCAGGCAGAGATATTTCGTTTCGATAAGTTATTGTTGATCGTAACATGTGGATCTTGTGTAAACAATGCATGTGTCCAATACAACGCTCGTTGATATTCATTTCTTTTTTGTAATCAATAAAACTAATCTTTCATTTTATAGACAATCGTGGAGTAGTTTGTATGCAGTGTGATAAGTGCGTATGTGCTAACGTGTATGATTAACACAAGGTGAATGTTTAAAACAAGGAAGTGTTTACCTATTTACTATTAAAACCTTTTGCGACGTGTCGTGGATATTTTATTTATTAAAGTTAGGTTAAGAA